TCCCAGAACACTTGATCGTTCTAATGTGAAACCTATACTTGGACCAGGAGGCAGTCATCAGAACAGAGCAAGGGAACACTGCATGGTTCAAAATTGGGGAGGGCTTATGCCAGGGATGCATCCTATCTCCATACCTTTTTTTTTTTCCTTGTAAGTTTCATTTTATTAAATGTGACTGAAGCAGCCACTGTGGTGATTTAAGAATTTAGCCAAGATGGCTTAGACAGACTTCTGGCCCACCAAGATCTCCAACCCAACAGCTGGGTACCAAAGGACAATCTTGAAGGAATGGTACAAATGAAAGAACTTCAGTGGGTATTGTGGTACAACTTATAGAAAAGGTAAAATAAACAAGACATGCAGGTGGCCTGGTAGTGACCATGGAGTCACCCCTGTGGCTGTGGGGAAGCCGGGCTAAAGCTTCGTTCAGCTCTCGCAGTCACTGTCTCCCAGGGTGTGCTTGTGAAAGAGGTACTCGGCCAGGCCTGAATCCGGGGCGTCCATCTTGCGCAAGTTGGTTACGTAGTCACCCAGTTGTTTGATGGATTTCACCTGCTCATCCAGGTAATGTGTCTCAATGAAGTCACACAAATGAGGGTCGTTCTTGTCAGAGGCCAATTTGTGCAGTTCCAGTAGGGACTGATTCACACTTTTCTCCAAGTGTAGCGCACACTCCATTGCATTCAGCCCGCTCTCCCAGTCATCCCGGTCTGATTTCTTGATGTCCTGAAGGAAAATGCGGCCACCTCGCTGGTTCTGCAGTTTCTTCAGTTTCTCAGCGTGTTCCCTCTCCTCATGGGATTGGTGGAGAAAATATTTGGCAATATTCTTCAAAGCCACATCATCACGGTCGAAGTAGTAAGACATGGACAGGTAGACATAGGAGGCGTAGAGCTCCAGGTTGATCTGGTGGTTGATGGCAGCCTCCAAGTCCTGGTTGTAGTTCTGGCGCACTTGTGAAAGGGACGTGGTCATGGTGGCAGGGGAGAGGCAGCGGCTGTGCGGCGCTGGAGTGGAGGTGAGGACCTTGGGGCATCCGGGGGTGCTGATGTGACGAGGTGGCGGAGGAGTGGCTGGAGATGACCGGCGAGGGGAGACGTGGGCGAGCGCCGGGTTCCGTTCAAGCACTGTTGAAGCAGAAGACCACAGCGACTCTGCGAAGACCGTCTGTCTCTCCATACCTTTTCAACCTATATGCAGAACAGATTATCCGGGAGGCTGGGCTCTATGAGGAGAAATGTGGGGTCAAGATTGGGGGATGATTTATCAACAATCTGCGTTATGCAAATGACACAACCCTGCCTGCTGAAACTGAAGAGGGCCTGAAGCACCTGCTGCAGAGGGTCAAGGACTGAAGCCTCCAATATGGACTGAGGCTCAATGTTAAGAAGACAAAGATTCTCACCACTGGACCAATTGGCAGCATCAGAATGGATGGTGAAG